GATAGGGAACAGGCACAGAGAACGTCCTTCAGGTTAACACAAAACTTTTAACAGTTACAGGTGAAATCAGACTTTCCCATGAAGTCACACATTTTATACCTGACCTGACATTTCATTCTATGAGAGCAACAGGGAAGAAGCCTTGTTCCCACCCCATCAAGAGGTGGAGCAATTTGACATTAACGTTTAAGTCTATTTGGGACACACACACTGATTGAGAAAGTTCTCCGTTTGATATTTTTCTAAGGGGCACTGCAAGTTTCTTTTGGAGAAGTATATGAATCAAATATCGATTCTGTAACTTTTTCGGAGCCATTTCCTGAAAGTTTATTTCAACTGAGCAAGATCTTGATATTGCCTACATTCATTGTTACAAGAATGAGAGAAGGAATGCATTACCTCTTTAAATAACATGAAGCCACTAAAACAGTGGTTCTCAACCTGTGGGTCCCCAGGTGTTTTGGCCTACAACTCCAAGAAATTCCAGCCAGTTTACCGACTGTTAGGATTTCTGGGAGTCGAAGACCAAAACATCTGGGGACCCAAAGGTTGAGAACCACTGCACTAAGACAACGTGGTACATAAATACATAAAATAATAATGTATTAAATTTATGTCCAAAGGGACTCCTCAGAGCCCTTTGCTGGGCATTTATCCCCAAGAGACAAAATCATGCTTTTCTTTGAAAAGATATTTCTCGGGAGAGCTTGATTCAATACATGGTATGGTCACAGTTGACGAATCATTTAAAGGCATGCACACATCCAATCTCCAACCTTAAAAACTCTGCATCATTTTATTTTAAGGAATACATTTCTTGCATGTTAAACGTGCTTTTAATCATAGCAAAGGCAGTTTCCTTTTTGTACAAAGGCAGCCTAATCAAGCTTTAACTGGAGTGACTCACAGCTCTCTGCACTGAATTACAAATATGTTGGATCACTTTTCTGGTATCTTTTTTGGGGCCTAAACATGGCACTGCAGACGTAGAACTTGCCTGCTAACTCCAACAAGCCATGGAGATTATTGTACCTCCAGAGAGGATAACCCAGGCATGGGCTAACTTTGGCCCTCCAGGTGTTTTGGACTTCAACTCCCACAATTCCTAACAGCTGGAGGGCCAAAGGCTGCCCATGCCTGGGATATACTATCAAGAAGAGAACAGGCTGAGCATACAAGAGAAAACCACCTATATAAGGAATAGCAGAGAAGTAGCACAGATGCAAATCAAGACCCTTGTAAAATGCATTCATGCTCCCTTCTTTTATCTTTTTGTTAAAACGAAAAACAAAGTGGAGAAAGTCTTTAAAAAGCTATTATAATGGTTGCAAAGACTCTTTACCTATCAGCAAAATCAGCACCCTGCTGCTACTGTTTTTACAGAGTGACAGGCTTTCTTGAAAAGAAGATGATACCGGCTTGTTTCTCATCACTTAATCTATCCTACTCACAAACTACTAGAAAATGGCATTTCAAAATCCAGCTGTGAAATGACAGCAAATGTCAGATGATGGGAGGATAAGAGAAATCTTAACATTAACATTAAAGGCCAATTATTTTATTCCACTATATAAAACAATGTATTAATTTCATGTCAGAACCCATCCATGTAGTACTTACTCAAAATTATTCAGACCGCTCAAACTTTCATTGGGCTCTATAGTCTTTGGTATTCATGATGCTAAAGGCAGTATTACAACCTTACAGGTGAAAGTGATAAATAGTGAACAAAGACGTACTTGAACAAATCCATGACAGAGGTGGAAATCAGAACATTCATACTTGGGGCCACCCTGTGTGTTCAACACAAACTCCTCTTTTGATGCTGCTCTGAAGAGTATGAGACATGGCAGCTTGGACAGAATGTCATGACCTAACCTCCTAGGGCTACAGAGAGGAAGTGGTTAAAACTCTTCTGTCCTCAACATCACTAACTGTTTCAGAAATCTACGTGGGAGGCACAGGTGGGGGTAGGCAGATAGCCAAAACCCTCCGTGCTGCTGTAGCGATTGAACATGGCACAACTCCAAAAATGCAGCTTTCTACCTCCAGCTGACAGAGACAATACCCTGATAAACTGGAGCTGCATTACTAATAATGCTTTAACAAGCTCTCTTCTAAGACCCCCTCCCCATACTTACATTTCCTAAACCTTCCCACTATGAATGCCTCCACTAGATGAAAATATAAGTTCTTGTTCTTCTCTGCTCCCTCCATGGTTTCCTGGCTTTCTCAATTCTTGACATCCCTTCCCACCCTTCAGCCCACCAGGTTTACTTTTTGGCAGAAAAAAACCAAAATGAATCTAGATGATGGGGAAAGTTTATGGTAGATATGATGGTAGAATGGATACCTCTGCCTATTTACGTACCACAAAACAGCTGGCTGAATAAGAGTTAATTGGATCAAAACCTTAGTAGATTCCACAAGGTATATGCATGGATCATCACTTTATAGCCTCAAGTAATAATTTCAGAATAACTGTGTAACCTTACAGTCAGGAAATCACAACATGAAACTTAAAAGAGAGGCAGATGAGGGCTAGCATCCTATTGCGCACAGGTTTCGCTCACATGTACTTATGTTTTGTTTGGGCACTGACCAAAGTCTGCTGTGGCAAGAAGGGAAAAGAAGCTTCCTTCCATTGCATCCTCCAAAGCTACCCCCCACCAAACATACTAGACAGCCCCTGAGGGGCCTTGGATGGCCATTCCTTGCTGTGTGGAAAGCTGAAGCGTGAAATTATGGCATTAATTATGAGACCCACTGGGGCTGTCCAGAGGTTTTGATGTTGCAGACATCTGGATACGGATGTAGCCAGGCTCTTCTGTGATCTTGCCCACTCCCTATGAAACAAGGAATGGTCATGCAGAGAAGTTTCAGAAGCTGTTCAGTAAGTTTGTATGGTGGTAGTATATAGCTCAGCCTAGTGAATGCCAATCTCTTACACTATGCTAAATTATACAGGATTTCAGTCTTGCGATAGCAAACTAGGCTTGTGATATCAAAACTGTAGAGTGGTAGGACTCCTTTTATTTATTTAAAAAGTTTTATTTTGTGAATGCCATTGATATTTGCCAGGGATTGGCTCTAGACCAGTGGTTCCCAACACCTATTTTGACCAGGGACCACTTCACCAGGGACCACTTTGACCAGGGACCACTCTCCAACACTAGTACCAAAAGGGTTACGAATCATGTTTTGGTCAACTTTAGATTTGGTTTAGTTATTTGGGGTGCTGATTCAGAAAACTGCATTGAATAGACCACTTCAGTTCTAGTTTCTGGTGCAGAACATATGCCATTCAGTAGTCGCCATCTGCTTGCTCACAGAACACTGTATTTAATAAGCCTCAGCACTATAAGAGGGTTTCGCGAGACCAGTCACTCACGTTGCAACCGTGTAGTAATGGTGAGGCTGTGGACCATAATTTAGTTCTTGTGGACCACTGTTGGTCCACAGATTACAGGCTGAGAACCACTGCTCTAGACCCACCAGGAAAATAAAAATCCATGGATGCTCAAGTCCCACTAAATACAGTGACATAGTAACATGCGTGTCCCTGATACAAAATGGCAAAATCAAGGTTTCGAACTGGATTTTTTGAACGTGAATAATGCTCAGGTTCTGGATGTAGACTCTGTAAACATATGTACTGCCAATTGATACGGAAATAAAAGCTACTCTTTAAAACTAGTAAATAACTAGTCAATTATACTTATCTCAATTTTTTTTGCAAATTTGGTATTTTCTCTAGAATGTATATAAAGAGGTAGTTCACTATTGCTGGGTCCTATATGATAATAATAGGAAATCTTATATTCAAGTTTCCAACTTGTGCCAAATTTAGTTTATTTTTACAGGCAGAATCCAATTTCTTCCCATGAGATGGTCATAAGTGAAAGGCAATGGACTAGGACAATGTGCTTGGGAAATGGCCTATGGAGGCCCAAACCCATTACTTAAAAGGGAATCTTAGGCTGAAACCTGGAGCCTCTGCTTTCCCAGGCAAAGTGTCTGCGGCCTTTAGTAACCCCACAGCTTGCTAATATGAACTTCATAAACTGCTTTGACATCCCCATGGAAACAGAAGGCGAGGTCATAAATAGAGGATTAGCACCTCTTAACACAGCGCAAAGCAAAAGAGGCAACAGGGGGCTTACGTTTCCCCCATTAAGGGCCAAGGGGCTGCTCAGCAACGAGGGAGGGCAGGATGGAGAAGGAAGAGTGCCACAGAGGAAGGGCAAACTGCGGGTGAACTACAAACGGTAGACAAAAGGGAAACAGCCACAGGACAAAGAGGGCAACAAATCTAATGAGCTCCTCCTTCCTGTCCCATCCACCACCCACTGGTAATACCTAGCCAGCCTGTCTATTTTGTCACTTGCATTACATCAGCACAAATGCTGCTGTGGCGATTTGCCACTGTGCCACTTTTTCTGAAATGGCACTCACCCCCCTCAAAGTTCACACTGCATGGTAAAGTTAAGGGGTGATGTAAGCAGAATGGCAAAGAGTGCAACAAGAAAAAGAACATGGTTCTTCTCACACAGAGTCAACATAAGCCAGATCATTTTGGTAAAATACTGTTTGTGTGAAACAAATGAAGACTGGAGATAACAACTTCTCTGCAGTCTATCTTAAATATATCCCTTGTCCATTTCTTAAGCTCTGTCCTCCCTAGTTCCTAGACACCTCATTTTCCAGTCCTAGTTCATCTCATTCAAGCTTGCAGTGGTCAGAACTGGCAATCTCACTCTTCCCTTTTAGCAAACTCAACAGGATTGTTAATCATACTGACTACATATAGGGTGGTTATTGATAAGACACAAAAATTGCTTTGTCTCAGCACTTTTCTTCTAGAGGGGCCTGTCGCATCATGTGAGAAATACAGTATTACAGTATTGAATTCAGTTCATGGACTCTATTTTAGGTAGGTGTGTGTGTGTGTGTGTGTGGGGGGGGGTGTGTGTTTTCCCTTAAAATAGACAACTACTGACCTGTTGAGAGTTATCTTCTTTTTTGGAACAAAACCTTCTGGGCGTTTAGGCCTATGATTTGGCAGCAAACCTAAATAAGAGAAGACTTTCAGATATTAGTAAGGAACAAACATGAATACAGATTCAAAGCTTGAATATGACAGCAGCCTAAGTGCATAAGTAAGGTTATGAATTCAAAATAAAATGCACAATAGTCATACACATAGAAAAATATATTAAAATAGTATCAGATCTTGTCTGCTTTTGGTCAACACCCGTACCTTGGGAAATCAGATTTGGCCATGGAGGTATATATCAAAATGTTATTGATGAGATATCCCTAGCACCACATTTAGACATACAGCCAATTCCCAATCATAATTCAATATAGAAACCTAGTTTAATTTCTCAGTCGCCTTCTGAACTGTATACTTCAGAGACAAGATAATGAATTGTCCTTAATAAGAACAACAAAAACACAGAGAGAAAAGGAAGAGATACTTCTGTCACTGACTTGCTTTGTTACTTTTGGGACACTAACAGGATCTATGGTATAATTCTACATTGGTTAGCATTCACCTGAATCAATGCATGGATTGATTATGTATAACAAAGGACAGAGATAATTAACTGGTAATGTAGAGCAGTTAAATTGTTTGATGATCTTACTTCCTGAAGCTTAACATTTTATTGCTATAAAACTGAAATGTTGCAATAGCACAAATAGCGGAGAAATGATAGTTGCAAATTTCAGAAGTAGAGAAAGCAGAAAAGACAAATCTTTCAGTGGTTCTCAACCTGTGAGTTCCCAGGTGTTTTGGTCTATAACTTCCAGATATCCCAGCCAGTTTACCAGCTGTTAGGATTTCTGGAAGTTGAATGCCAAAACATCTGGGGATTCACAGGCTGAGAACCACTACTTTAGATCATGACATTAGAAAGTTTGTATCTCACCTCTTGCTTCAAGTGAATTTATACTCAAAGAATCCAAATAAAATGGAGAAAGGTAAGCTCTCAAACTAAAGTAGTTACCTGCTCGATGAGCCATTTGGACACACACTGCAATCTTCTTATGCTCTATTGTACAAAGGCCTGTGACACTCCGAGGCAGCATCCCTCCATCAGAGCGTATGAACTGACTAAGCAGCAAGACGTCCTGAGCAAGTAAAGAGAAAGACAAATACGAAAAATCAGATAATGACCAGTGCAGTAATATTGCAATGGAAGTCCATGTCAACGCTTCTGAAAAACTTTAGAAGAAGCACTATTTAAGTCTGCTAACACAAACAGCTCCTACAACACTCCCAGGTGTTACCAAGGTGTTTTAAGATTCATTTACTCCACCTTCTGGATGTAAAACCACTCCCCTCTAGCTTGCCTAGGAATGCAGATGACACATGGGAAAAAGGGAACAGTCGCTTCAGAAGGTAAAAGTGCCTATATCCGCTTAGAGTCGCCGTATGGCTGATATTTGCGGTATACAAAAGGAGTAAATAAATAAATAAATAATATATCTTGACAAGAGCAAGATCTCCAATATGCAATCTGTTTTTAAATAAAGCAAAGCAATAATTAATAATGAAATCATGAAATACCTGCATATTAGTCCAAATATAAGTCCAAATAATAAATATATAAGTCCAAATAATAAATAAATAAATAAATAAATAAATATTAGGGGCACATTGGCTTCCACCCTGAAACATGAATGTTTTGATATTCTTGTACATTTGACACAAACTTTAAAACTGTTCTGCCATATACTCTTGCCTTCCATTTTTAATTGAATGTGGCAATAAATCTTATGCTTTAGAACACTGATGGAGAAGGGCAGAATCATTTCTTCAAAGAGGGTAAGAAGTGCAGTGCAATTCAAAGCTGCATCAATAGTAGAATAAATCAGGAGTATAGTGTTGAGCTCGAGAGAAGTCATAATCTCACTCTATCCTGTTTTGGCAGGATTACATCTGCAATACTGTGTTCAATTCTGGGCACCACAATTCAAGAAGGGTACTGACAAGCTGGAACATTACCAGAGAAGGCTAACCCAAATTATTAAAGTTTTGGAAACCAGGCTCTATGAGGAATGGCTGAGCTAGCTGGGTATGGGCTGTTGTGAGTTTTCCGGGCTGTAGCTGGGTATGTTTAGCTTGGAGAAAAGAAGGCGGGGAGGAGACATGATAGCCATGTTTATATATTTGAAAGGATGTCCCATTGAGAAGTGAGTAAGCTTGTTTTCTGCCACTCTGGAAATGGAGCAATGGATTCAAATCACAGGAAAAAAGATTCCACTTAAACATTAGGAAGAACTTCCTAATGGTAATAGTTATTTGGCAGTGAAATATACTACCTTGGAACATGCTGTATACACTTTCTCTGGAGGTTTTAAGTAGAAGCCGTCTGTCAGGGATATTTTAATTGTTTTCCTACATGGCAGGGGGTTGGTCTGGATGTTGGTCTTGTAGTCTCTTCCAACTCTATAATTCTTATGAAAGAGGACTATGTGATTATCAGGGTGAAATGGTGCATATAGGCCATCACTCTAGAGCAAGCCTGCACAACATACAACCCGCGGGCTGGATGCAGCCTGCAAAGGCCTGCTTTGCAGTCTGCAGATGAGGCTGGGCTTCCTTCTCTTTGCTCGGCCCTTGGCATGTCTGGTCAGGCAGGAATCGCAAGGACTTTGACATCAGCAAAGTCCAGGCCCTTCCCATGGGAATAGTGTGATGCTGGGGAAAGGTAGGGCTTTCCCTTCGATAGGCAGGCAGGGTGGGTGTAAAGAGGGAAGAGGAATGCAGGTGGGGGTTTTTTTGTGCTTTTTATTGGCCCTTTACAAGGACAAATTTGTACAGGACTGCTCTACACCAATGGTTCTCAACCTTCCGTCATTTCCAAGAAGCCGCAGTTTGTATAAATTGCTCCTGGGATTTCTTCAAGTTGGAGTTGCTTATATATAATATATAGAATATCTGGAGGACTAAAGATGGAGAACCACTGCTCTAGATCACTGATTTTTAATCTCGGAAGCTCCAGGTATTAAAGAGCTTAAAATCCAGATATTGTCTTCAATGGCCATAATGGTTGGCATTTCTGGATCTAACAACAATGGAAGACCATTCTCCATCTTGAAAATCACTGCAAGTCTAGATGACTCACCACTGAACTGCACTGGAGTGAAACACAGTCAATTCCAACCATGTAAAAACCACTCACATAAGCAATTAATTTTGAATTGAAAATATCTGTAGAAGGCAGTGTAGTGATAATTGGGTAGCTGACCTAGGCAACATGAAAATGTCCTGAAGTACCTCAAATGAACTGGCATTTGAGGATCTTAGATTACAACACACATTTTATATGTATTATGCTTGAATCATATTATCTTGTGTTGTGAACTACAATTAATTCTGTCTAGTGTGGTTTGTAAAATGATCACTAAGTTAACCTTCCTCGGCATTGTGCCCTGTCTATTTTCAATAATTGTGAGACACTAGTGTATCTGGGCAAGAAAAGCACTGTACGTTGATATCTGATTTCTCTATTTTTTGAACCCACCAAATGAGCTGAAATTCAACAAGTTTCTCCTTGATTTAAAATTCCTTTTCCAAGTTAAATTTAATGAAGAAATAACTATCCTCAATACGCACATTATTTTATGTTGATTTTTATAACCATGTAGTGCAGCATCTGGCTCAAAAAACATTATCCAAAATTGGGTGAGTTCATATTACCCAAATCTAATTGATTCAATATTTATTTTGACCCTATTCTTTAATCCAAAATTTGTATGTAATTTAGATTTAAAACATATATGTAAAACCAAAACAAATGAATAAGAATGAGCCAAATATATATTACACAGTAGAATTAAAATCTTTAAAATAATCCAAAGGTATGAGAAGAGCTCTGCACTGAAGCCAGGGACACTACTAGCAGGAAATGCAAAAAGGAATTATCTGGAGCCAAAAAATAAGTCTCAATGGATGACAGACGATACTTGCGCAGGGCAACGAGACTTATCATAACATAGAAGATGACAACAAATAAGAAGAACAAGAGGCCTCTTCCACAAGATCTGAGAAATCTGATGGAAATTTAAACTGAGAGCGGGGATGCTATATGACACAAAGGGGAACATATTGCATAACTGAGTACAAATAAAAAGAGAATGCAAACTGAAGAACTATATCAGTTAAAAGAGATGAAAGGATGACAGATTCATTCCAGGAGGAATTATCTGAAGATGAACCTATAATTTTAGAAAATGAAGTAGAAGCCTCAGAGTACTTAGGATAAATAAATAACCTGGAACAGATGGCATGTCACTAGAGCTTCTGCAGTGAGAGGATCTACATTAGGTCTAACAAAAAATTGTCAGCAAATATGGAAAACCAAACATTGGTTCACAGACTGAAAACATTCAATATGCATTTCAATTCTCAAGAAAGGGGACACCAGGGATTGCAGTAACTATAGAACTATTGCACTAACTTCCCAAATCCTATAGCAAAGAAATGGACCTTCTATAGAGTAAGAAATGCAGATGTCCAAGATGAATGTAGGTGAGGCAGAGGTACTGGGAATCATACTGCAGAACATGATGGATAATGGAGCGTGCCAAAGAATGTCAGAAGAAAATCAACCTGTGTTTTGTAGATTACAGTAAGGCAGACAAAAAAGACTATAGGCTGTTCTTCAAGAAACAGATATACCGCAATCTTTGGTTGTCCTTATGTGTAGAACAGGAGGATACTATCAGTGCAGACACTCCACCATTCCTTATTTATGAATTTATGAAAATTCTTTATATTTGGTCATCACCTGCTTCACCTTTGAAAGTAGTGGAATATGAAGAAATATTTAAAAGGCAGATTTGCATGGGTACAAGTCATATGTAAGGTAGTTGGGGCCTGAAGTGTAGGATGAATTAGTAAAATCAACACTTTCTGCTAAGAATGGATCAGTAGCTAGTGCAGTGCTCATTTTTAATTTATTCCATGAGTCATGTAAACAGTGATATTTCTGCAGTATATGAAGATGGAATTCTGAATGCAGTAGCAAGTTTGTTTCAGATCACTAGACGTGACAGAAATTGGATTTCTGTTCCTTCTATGGTTTATGTCAACACTAGAAGACATTTTTCTCATCACATTTTCTTCCTCCAGTCAAAAGAGTATCTCTCATTATTCACTAGGCAATAACTGATGTTTTACTTGAAGCCCAGTGTAGCATAAGAGGGGAAATTTGGATGTAGGTCAAAGGAATAAAAAAAAATGAGGACAGGGCCTTGGTGTCAGGTAGAAATGGCAATGGTCAAAGATAGACTAATGTTGTTTGAGTGGAAAGCCTCTCTCAAGATGTCACATGTCTTCTAAAACTTTGGTACATGCCGCCTCTTAAAATGAAGGATAATCACCACAGCCAAATTGCATTTCTCATTTGGATATACAGTACTGCTAGCTCTGTCCACCCTTTCTTTAACACCATACTTACTGTCTGCTTGAAAACCATTATTTCACCACAAAAGTTTTGATAGCTCATTGACAAAGCAACGTTTACCGAAAACAATATAAGATTCACAAAGCAGTTCATACTATGAACACATTTCAGCACCAAACTTAAAATGAGAAATCTCACATCAGAGATACATTTCTAAGATTTAGTAATTATCTTCTAAGAGATTCAGCCAATTAATAACTGTCTGACTCCGTATGATTATTATTTTGTTTGGAGGGCAGTATGAATACAGCAACTTCGTGACAACTGTATGTTATGTTCACTCACTTCTGTGAAGAGAAATAAAGGAGCAATTTAGTATCTTGGACCCAAATGATTCAAGATTTATCTATGTGTACTATGGAAATACTCTGGAAAATATTGCTATAATTAGAGTTCCTGATCTAATGTATTTGACATATTCCAACTGCCATATAATTGGCAAGGCTTTTTAAATATAGAGGGAGAGCAGAAGATGAAAGAGATAAAGAAACAGCATTTTCATTGTTGAAAGACTGCTTATTTCCAAATTCTGTTTAACCAGATACAGACATCAATCAATCTACTCCTTGTTTGTAAATGTCATTTCAAAACAGCTCTATTAAGTCCCATCTGTTTCAGCACTGCAAGTTATATGCTCCAAGGCATTTGGCTTGTGAGTACTGCTTGCTCACAAAAGATTACAGCAACTTCAGAAAGACCCCAAGGGCAACAGGAGTGGGACTCTCCCAATATCCTTGTGCAAACTGGTGTAAGTCAAAGGGCTAGTGCAGAGGAACAGTAAGGCAGTTTTAGGACACTGGAGAAAAAAAGAATCTAGAAGGGTTAAAGGAGAGGGGGAATAATCTGGCAGATTTGCATACTGCCGTCATGTTCCATGAAATTAACATTGTGTGCTAATGTGCAGCCAAGACTACAACCACAGATTTGCTTTAATCACTGGACAGCTCCTGGGAGAGGCTGAACCCAGATTCCCACCCCTGTAATCTGAAGGATCTGATGAAAACAACTTGGATTGAATTAATTCAGGGCTAATATGCAAAGGTTAGTCATGTCTCTGCTTTTTGCTGCCAAAGTGAGAAGACATTTACTGCCTGATCAGACTAATCATGTTCCAAGTAAGAGAAGAGGAAACATGTTTTGCCTTCACTGCCACATCGTATTTGACTTCTTCTGCTGAGCAAATAAAATCCATTGTGAACACAAAATTCACTGGAATTAGAGGAGAATTGGAATTATTAGCAGAATCAATCTAAGGCTATCTGGAAAACAGACAAGTGCTAACAATTAAGAGTGAAAAGCCATCAGAGTTTAAGTCAATATCTGTTCATAGTCAATGTGCTCTTACCCTATTACATACTATTGCTTGAGTTTATAAAAGTTTTTTGGGTCATCAACCTATTAGATCAAAGAGCCTGTGGTGTCTAAAGGTTCTATATACGAAACCTATTTTCTAAAGAAGTGATCAAATAATATTTTTTATTTGTAACAGTGATCAATTAACTAAAATCAGAAACAAGCTAAAAGGATTTTTAAAAAACCGAATGGAATTTATACAGCTCTTCAAAGAGTATTTACCTTATTGTAATCTTTATAAAAATTCTGTAAATGTATATGCTAGTATTATGAAGCAGAACCAGCTGATGTTGAAAGAATGGTTTTGTACAGGTCACCGAATTAATTTATGTCAGAGGCAAAATCCAAGCCAAGGACTTCCTAATTCACGCACTGTGCTTGTCAAACAGTTAGGCTGGAACGCATCTGTCTAATTCAATAAGTGTAAGGGTTAATCAGTTAGTAAATGCAGAAACTGGTACCAAAAACTTTGAAAAAATAGCAATTCTCCAATTGTTAGGGGAAGTAGCAAAGGCATCTCTTGCTTTATAGAAATGGTCTATTATTCTTCAACAATAGCTTTAAGTTCACAAAAAATAGTTTTCCTTAGAAAATTTCCCTTATTTTCACCTCTCTACCCTGTCAACTGCAGTGGGAGGTAAATAAATATCTGTGGAATTCAATGTGGCCCATAGTATCAGGGCATCTACTTTAGAAGCAATGTTTATGTATTCAACCTTGTAATTGCTCTGAATTATCTGTCTACTTAACATTATGTTCTTCTAGATGATAAAGGAGGTGATAAAGCATCAAAAGACATAGGGTGCTTCTACACATCCATTTAAACCGAGTCAGGATATGGATTAAAATGAGTCAGTTTGCTGCCGAGTGCCCACACAGACACCTCAGGAATCGTTTGGAGCCTTGAATGGTGACCACAAAACTCTGCTAAATGCAGATTGATTTAAACCCATGCACATATTTTTCCATACTTGTTCAGGCGGGATGTGTTGATGGGCATTTCCTTAACCAGCACTGATAGATAGCAACAGGTCTAGCTTTGCTTCAAAGTTTTTAAAATGCATCAGTGCTAGCCCTGTCCTGACAAGTGCTGTGCACCTCTCTGTCTTGAGTTCAGCTCTGTATGGGATATAGTGACTGGCTTAAGATGATTTTATGGCTTATTCCAGAATTTGGTGGGGATGAGACACAGGGCCTTCTCAGTAATTGCCCCTCGACTATGGAACTCCCTTCCTAATGAGATCAGGTCAGGCCCCCTCCCTCTTGTCCCTCAGAAGGATGATAAAAATTTGGCTGTGGGACTGTGTAATGAGGCGGCGATAGGAACTCTTAGTATGCCAAGCAAATTCGGTATGGTTGTTGAGACAATTTTAACTAGATGATTTTAACATCAATATAAGTGATTTTAATGTTTTTGTATGTGTACGGTCTAGTATGATTTGGCATTGAATGTTTGCCATTTATATGTTGTGCTCCGCCCTGAGTCCCCTTCGGGGTGAGAAGGGCGGAATATAAATGCTTTAAATAATAATAATAATAATTTACAGTTATTTTTTTTAATGTGCTGTTTTCTGGCTGGATGCGTCTGGGAGTGTATGTTTTGTGGATACTCTGCCATTGAGATGGCTTGGAACTACATTTTAATGTTGGCATAGAACCGCCCATAGATTTATTTCCTGTATCCAGGCAAACAAGTGGCCCCTGAAATTATGGGACTGCAACACTCTTCACTGATTATATTGGCTGTGGCTGCTGGAAGTTGTAATCCAACTTTATTTGGAGGATTCCACACATTTTCCACTACAATTGTATGCAATGATAGTTTATTACTACAGGTTCCACAAATGGAGTGACGGATGCCATTTAACGCCTTTAATATCACTGAAGTACTATCATTATGGTGCCCCCGGTGGCGCAGTGGGTTAAAGCACTGAGCTGCTGAGCTTGTTGATCGAAAGGTCGCAGGTTCGATTCTGGGGAGCGGCGTGAGCTCCCGCTGTCAGCCCTAGCTTCTGCCAACCTAGCAGTTCGAAAACATGCAAATGTGAGTAGATCAATAGGTACCGCTCCGGCGGGAAGGTAACGGCGCTCCATGCAGTCATGCCGGCCACATGACCTTGGAGGTGTCTACGGACAACGCTGGCTCTTCGGCTTAGAAATGGAGATGAGCACCACACCCCAGAGTCAGACATGACTGGACTTAATTTCAGGGGACTACCTTTTACCTACTATCATTATCTTTTTATCATGTAATTATTCTGTTTGAGTGCTAAACCATCACTGACTTGAACCTCTATTAACGTAAATGAAATAAGGCTCTACAAGTGATGGTTCCAAATGCTTTTCTACAACTGGCACTACTGTAATAGAAAGTTGTATCCTCATTCGCTGCCATAGACTTGACAAAAATGATGCTCTGCAGTTAATCTCTAAGCAGTTTATATTTGCAGTTTTTAAAATTCATACAAATAAGGTTAAGTCATGCCATATGCAGCTTGGCCTGAACTTGAACTATGTGGAACATCATCATTACTTCCACAACACTTGGAATTTTAAGAGAAGAATATTTGTTTCAAATGCTCTTAAAAACAAATGAGTGAGGCAGTATCTTAGCAAACCTACTAGGATACATGTGATCCAGGAAAACTAATTCACTCCATGTCTCAAGAATTTCCTTACCTGCTTTTCAGAAAGCTCATTTACATGATCATCATTACTAAATTATTTAAAACTCCATTTCAGCTTATTTTTCTTGTTCCTCCTTTCTCTTCATTTGTAAGCCTGCCATATCACAAGCTATTTCTTTTCCACCAGATGCATTTGTATCTGTAGCCTATTAATCCCACTGACGTTAACTTATTGTGCAGCTTTGATTTCCTTATCTTTAATATGTCCTTGTCTGGTTCCCTTCCTTTCCATTTCTAACAGGATTTTTTTTCACTTTTTATATCCCAGACTTTGAATAATCTTTGTGAAAAGAGTTAAAAAGAGTTCAATCCTTAGTTTCTCAAATTTTGAGCAGAGTTGCGGATTTGAGGCCTTTTCTTTAAAATACACTTTTCTAGGGTTCAGCTGTCACTTATTATGTATACTCCTCTAAACTTTCTTCTTTCTCTTCTTGCTTATTGGTTTTTTTTTTAAAAAATATCCTAACCTACTGTGTAGACATATTGTAAATCCATGCTTCCCGAAGCACTGAAAGTTTAGAAAGCATATAAATCCTACAAAATGGTTGGATTAGGATACGCTACCTTTTGGTTCTTTCTCACCCAGAAATGTCTCCTGCATTGGTGATCATGTATAAGAACTGATATCTTAATTTGCTAATTTTCTTTCTTCTTTCCTTTTGCATCATAAGCCATTTTAATTGAAAATGATATCTTGAGTCCAGTTGCAAAAAATCAGGATAAACTAATAATGATAGATACAGACCTTCTTGCAGCAACACCAGAAGCACTCCAAGTGGCCACCTACTGGTCAAAGGACATTTAATCAACTACCAAACCCACAAATTTTGTATTTTGTCTGTTTGTTTGCTTTGTTCTGTTAGAAATGTAATATAATTGACTGGTTGCCCTGACACGACAAAAATAAATAAACCCAGGCTGACTTCAAAGGTGGCACATACCACTTGAGTTTATGCTCCAAATGTTCAAACTTTGGAATTGGGAAAATTTGTTTGAAGAGAAGGAAGGGTAGATCTATCTCTTCCAGCAGGCCTACCCAGACAGTTTTAATGATGAATTTTAACCCTGCATCTTATGTTTAATCTCTGTTTTGTGTATTGTAATATTTATCTTGTGGAAATATGTTTTAATATGTTTATTTTAAAGAATGTTTTTTAGGTGAAAGTGTGTTTTACAGTGTTGTAACCTGCCTCTAGCCATGAGGAGAGGAGGCAAGAAATAAAAATTATAATTATTATTACTACTACTAGATCTGGAGGAAAAAAACAACTCACGGAATAAGTGTATTTGTGCTTCAGATTCCAGCGACATATAGGACATTGCCCAGAGGGATTTGGAGGAGTTGGAGCTTCTACAACGTCCAGAACCTCACCTTCAATCTAGAAAAAAGAGAACAATGTGATTAGAGATGGAGATCTAGAATTCATACTTCAGATATGCTTCAGATTATGCTGAATTTTCAACATGTAAGATGAAATCCACAAAACTTCACGCAGAGGGTACCTGGCTCTTGTACCAGTGATCTAAAATACACCTGGGATGATACTTGAGGTAACTTTTAAAAAACCACACCTCAGTTTCAAATAGCATCAAGATGTTTTTGTGCATCATCAAGTTCATGAATATGGAAATATTTGCATAATAGTATGAGCCATGACTTTTGTTAAATATTATGTTGCTTAAGCCATGAATTGGATGCAAATGATCAAACAAAGCATGGCCTATCATCGCCAGATCTAGGATGAGCACTTGGGGAAACAAGCCAGAGATTGGTCACGGTTGTACATTCAGATGACACAACAAGTCATGCTTTAAATAATCCAGTTGACAATCCAGGAACACACAATGAATTCAAATTGTAGGTTGTGTCTAGTTAACTGGGGTTGTTAGCAGGGTAGGGCCCACATATAATACACTTTCTTTATATTCTGCTTTATCTCCCTGGAGGGACTCAGAGCGCATTACAATACACATATAAGGCAAACATTAAATGCCTTTTTACACACACAGTGAACAATGACATACAACACAGACAAAGGGAAACGCCTTCCCCTTTTTCCATCTCCAGCGTATGGAGGCGATGCTCATTTTGTTCCATTTTCCATGTCGAAAAGCCTGTTGTCCATGGACATCCCCGATTCTGTTGCTGGCATGTCTGCATATTTGCATGGGGCGCCTTTTTACCTTCCTGTCGAGGTGGTACTTACTGATCTACTCGCATTGCATGCTTTCGAACTGCTAGGCTGGCAGGAGCTGGGGCTGACAGTTGGGAGCTCACCCTGATTCACGGCTTCAAACTGCCAACCTTCTGGTAAGCAGCTTTCCTGCCACTAGCAGTTTGACCTGCTGTGCTATCACGGCCCACAACAAAAATCATCATGTCCACTGATTTACAAATACAGTTAGCCACTGACAAGGAGGACTGCGATATACTCTGAAATATTCTGGCCTATGGGACAAGGTTCCCTCTCCCAAAAAGAGAAGTTGAAGTGAAGTTTTTGTTTGCCAAAATAGCTGTACATTCATTTGTAACTAGGAATAATTTAAGACTACTATTTTGAGAACATCAGCTAATTTGAACTAATATGTTGCAGAAACTTCTTGTTGGCTCTTTTTTATTAACAGCTGTAGCAAAAAGAAGTTTCTTCAATGTGTTATAACTGCCACAATGTCTATAATGAGTAGGATGTTGTCTGAAGCATATTTTCCTCAAAACCTAGTTCAAATTTGTCTTTAAACAGTTTTAAGCAATAGAGTTCATAGCATTTCCCTTGGGAAACATATTTCAATATGCTAGCATATCTGACAAGAAGAAGCATTTCCTGCCATTTGGCCTTTATGTTCCTACACTTTAAGTAGATCTGCAAACATGTTTTATAAAACTCCTGTTCTTTCTCACATGCGGCCGCCATAGTAACATAATATTCTCAATATTCAACACAGGTAAGAACGATTGTTGATGCTGTTGGGTAAAATCCATCAGTTCTAGCCAGGAAACCTAATGGCCAAGGTTTTTGGGAATTGCAGCCCAATACCACAAGTTGTTCATGAAAACTGGAAAAATTTTAAGCAAAGGAATTGACAACCACAAACTTGGGCAAGTTATGACTATTTTTGGAAATCTTAATCTTGTACTCTTGACGTTTACATGACTTTATTGTTGTGTTTTCAAGTTGTTATGTGATTTGTTCAAGATCACCCAGTGGATTTTCATGAATGAACTGGTAGCAAGTCACAATCGAATGCTCAAACCACTACTCTATGCTGCCTCACTCCCATTTACATTACCTAGTAACCATGAGATTAAAAAACATAACTACCTTGTGAATTTTCAAGCACTATTTGGTCAAATATGTCAGCACTGTTATAATGGATCTCAAGATGATGGGGGCCAAGGCCTTCCAGTCGGACAAGTTGGAACTAAACTTTGGTCAAAGAACCCCTAATGCACTAGGGATTGGTTTATGCAACTCCTAAGAAAGCACAGCCATCTTCCTGCTGTTTTTATGATAACGTAACACCTCAAGATTCCAACTTAAAAGTCTGCCCTGTGTAAAATCTGAAAGTTATGGAGATTGGCAAGCAGTAGACAGATCAGAAAGATGAAGGGCTGAACTTAAGAAGCCTCCCATCATGCATATCTAGTCTTTTTGCCACATTCAGTCAATGCTGCACAGGCAATTCCAGTCAAGAATTTTAATCTTTAGAATATGATCAGCAGCAGCCTTTTCCCCTGTTACACTGGGGGCAAAAGACTGAGGGAGGAAATTAAGTACAAAAAAGTGGGGATAGACACTGAAGTGCTAAATCTATGTATAACAGCAGGAAGGGACATGTTGGGTACCAATGACAGGATAGTTTACAACGACTTGATGAATGGTGTGTTCATGTTTGAGGAATTCAGAACCTGTTGTTTGCAGAGGACTGCTTGTTTTGAAAATACATTAGAGAGCAAACCGAGATGGTATGTATAGTCCAACTGCTAGTTCTTGCACTATGCGTACCTACTTGTGTTTTATCAGGATATAGCAAGCTGTATTCCTTAGTAATATAGCACATCCTTTAAATCTTACTTTTATCAAAGGGGTTTCAGTTAACAGGGATGTAAAAAAATGAACAAGAGCTTTCACTTGCCAAATGGTGAGGACTGTATTACTGGTTTGATAATATTCAGTTTATGCTCTTGATTTGTGATATTCTTATACAGTAAGTGCCATGTTCTTACCAATAGTACTCTTACTATTTATTACTAGTAAAAGACCAAAACAATACACATTATTTTCTCCTTGGATATTCCCATAAGTATGTCATTTCTACTTCAGGTAAATGTGCTTTAACATTTAATTAGCATGGTTTCAGATCATTACACTTGCAATTTTTTATACTCAAAGTATAGCAGGTTCATTTTGAATAATTATCTAGGCCAGTGGTTCCCAACCTTTGGTCCTCCAGGCATTTGGGACTTTAGATCCCACAATACCTAACAGCTGGAAAGCTAGCTGGATTTTCTGGGAGTTGAAGTCCAAAACAAGTGGAGGACCAAAGGTTGGGAACCACTGATTTAAACCGACATATGGCAAAAATTAGATCCATTTTTTAAAGTGCCCAACTGTTTTTAAAAAAATCTATTTTTATGTAGGGGACAGCAATCTTGAAACAATTAGGCTAAGTAAAAAGTACCCTGTATTTTGGAGATGCTAAAACCTGTACCTTTTAAATGTAATGTAAATTATTATTTTGAAATTAATACAGTTGGATTCCAAATTGATTTAACATGGTTATTAGTACACAAGGACCCCATAAAATGAATATTAATGCCACCTGGCTCCAAAACAGTAAACAATTTAGATAGCAAAATGTTTCATTGTACTACCCAAAATGTAACATGAGTTACTTTGGAAAAGCCCAGGAGATCAAAGCTAATGTCCATGTCCCCACCACAAGTTTCTTCACAGCACTCCAAGTAAGCAAATACACCTTCCTCACAAGATTTTGGCTTTATTGATTTTTTCCACCAGACATTTATGATGCCAATGAGAAAAGCAATCTGTTCCAGAAAACATGTTCAAATTACATTTATAAATCAGATGAACAATAAAATGGAAGTGACTGACCTCACTTACAGAACGTATTTGATTTCATCTGTGCTACATCCTCAACATCACAGAATATTCTTTTTCCTGTGATTACATTTATCCACCAAAGCACAGATGGGAATTTTCAGGGAACGATCTCCATATTGTATTGCTTTTGTAGATATCATTAGTGTCTTAACTATATAATACTGAAATGCAAGCATTTATTATTTACTATATTGTACTATGGTAGTGGAAATTCAGTTTGGAATTGGCCTAAAACAAAATAAAAAACAATTTAAATATAGTAAATGCATCAGAGTACCTTCATATATGAAGTGTTCTGGCTTGCCTTCTCTCAAACAACCCTTCATTGAAGACTCTGGCATTTTAAGCAGGAAGAATTCTGACTCCAATACATTGAATTTTAAAGTTTTCATTCTATAGTGCTCTGGCCTATTTTTCACCAAAGAACACTCTTTCTTCAGATGGCCTCTCTATATACCAAAATGATGTCAGTTTTTTAATATTAACATAATAATTATAATATTTTCCATTTCCCTTTCCAAAATATAGTTTAAACAGGGGAATTCTATACAAGGGTTCCTCAGTCTAGAGCCTACTGGATGCACTCAAATATAATTTTCACCATCCCTGTCCAACATGGCCAAATTTGGGGATGGTGGATGCAATGAATTTTCCCCTATCGTATAATATCAAAATACTAGAAATTTCTGAATATATGCTGTGGATTATAATTTTATTCATCATTTTAAATAGAGTCTATTGTTATAGATTCTATTTAAAATAATTATCTCTGAATTTATCGCTTTAGAAAATTGCATGATCTAGGATTAACTTTCATATTCAGTTGAAGTTTTTCTATCAATTAAGGTATGTATTTATTCAGGGAATTTAGATGGTCCCTCTGCCAAAAAAATAAAATATCACACCACCACTAATGATAAACAGGACACTGGAATCTACTATATAGCTCGGAAAATAAATGAGATATCTAAAAGATATGTATTTGGCAGGTCACTCTGGGAAGTTCAGTAAGTAGGAAGCGACAGTTGAAGAACACTCTCATGGTTTATAATTTTCATAATCACCTTATTTTCCATGCACATACACCAATACTAAATCCCCATATAAATATTTTGAATTTAATATGATGAAGATTGCAGTTGTGAAAATTTAACTTAACCCCCAGAAAACAATGAAATAGAACTTTGATATATTAAATCCCATTTTTTAGTTTTCCTGAGACTAAAATTCGTTGGACTTCTACACCTTGTCCCAACAATGCTCATAAATTATTTACAGTGAAAGTACAGTCTCTTTATAAACTCATGACAATTTTAAATTAAAAGCAACCAGACACTGCCTTTTACTGAAGGAACTCTTTAAATATCAATCAGATAATAAAAGTTTATGAGTGGAGAAGCAAAGTACTGATAATATACAGATACCCATGCAGTAGGGATAATGAATGGCTATGGAAAAAAGAGAGCTGCGAAGAAAGAAGTGGAAGAGCAAGAGGAAAATAGGAGATACAGTTAGGGGCTGTTTTCAAATAAGGACTACTATAAAGCTGTTTCTATAACTATTACTTTTATCTTTAGAAATTATATTTCAGCAAAATGTCATTGTTGCTTTGATAATGTGAATTTAGAATTCCATGCCATTTTTCTTCATAATAATAACAATGAATTTACTACCCACCTCATTTTGCTTTTATTTATTAGCTTGTTACGCTGTTATAGTGTTTTGAAGAAGTGTTCAACACAAATGCCAGTTCATTCTTATTTACAGTGGAAATATTTTGCATTTTCAGTGTTGAGTATCTTCCGTAAATCAAATGGTAACAATGCCAACTACATCCATTTAAATTCCAGACTGCAAAACATCACAATGAAAATGTCATGAGTGATGGAAAATCTCTCAAAGGCTATTTATATCTGGTTAATATTCAAGTGTGAAGCTGTTGCCTTATCCCTTTCTGAACGAACTGAATATTTAGATAGGAAACAACCCATTTTCATTCTGCACTCCCTCAAAAGCTTCCAATCGATCAACAAATTAATATATTCTAAAAGCCCAGGTAATAACACTTCATGGAATGGATGCCACTAAGATATGGCTCTCTCCCACATCAGTTTCCACACTTTGAAATATTTCCTTCAAGTTTGTGCAACTCTTCAAAAACAATAGGCATCCTACAATGACAAACATTTCCTTCACTATGGTGGCAAGGATCTGAAATGGTAGCAATGGGGAAATATCAGATGGGTTCCAAGAGAAGAATGAAAAGCTCATCTTTGCAGTTTCTTCAAGAAAATCACTGTAGCATAAAGAGGCCTGAATTTACACTGTTCATCTACTAGAGTTTATTAAATCACATTTTCCCATGGGAAAAATGCTGTATTACAAGCACAAGGATATGTCACTCAAAAAGGATGACAGGTCTACTTACAACAGTTGTGTTCCCTTCTGTCCTTTCTACAACTGCAGATAAAGAGAAAAGAATAGTAAGTTAGAACATTCAACCTGGAAAAAGGGGAAAAGTTGTCATGTGTTACAGATTCTGAAACTGCAACTTTGCACCCATTTACAGTGTCTACAAACAACTGCTTCAGAACTGTTAAAATATGGGTGTGGGGGACCTGAGATATGTTACATGACCCTTCAGACATTGAACTACATAATTCTCGCCTGTACAAAAAGAAGGGCAGCAAAAAAGCAATCTGACTATGTTAGCTCACAGACTGATATCAGGCTGCAAAGATGGGATTATAGTCAGGCCATCATATTCACTGGGGTTAGGGGAACATGATCTCAGCAAAAGTGGAAAAACAATGAATAAAAATTTATTCATTTATTAACCAGAGAGAACATCTCTCTAGAAATCTTTAGGCTCTCAAATATGACTCTATGTTCAGCTTCTGCCAGACATTGCCTAGAGCTGTGCTGAAAGAACCAGATTCCTAGAGAGGTTTTCTCTAGGAATCTCTAGAACAGGGGACAACTAACTTTTTAAACAGAGGACCAGGTCACAGTCCCTCAAACTATTGGAGGGCCAGATTATAATTTGAAAAACATGAATGAATTCCTATGCACACTGCACATATCTTATTTGTAGTGCAAAAAACCCCACTTAAAAACAATATAATAATTAAAACGAAGAACAACTTATTAGTATTTCAACAGTTTGCGGGACTGCGACCTGGCCCTCTGTTTAAAAGGTTTGTGGACCCCTGGTTTAAACCATTCTTCATTTTAAACATTTTACTGTTTTTTAATATTTTTGCACTGTGAATACTATAATATATAATATAGTGTGCACAGGAATTAATTCATTTTTTTCACACTGTATTCCAGCCTCTCAACAGTCTGAGGGACCGTGAACTGGCCGTCTGCTTAAGTTTGAAACCCCTGCATTGGAGAGTAATAATGCAGGGAAGAAGGTAAAGAAAAGCAAAAGGCTTACAGTAAATTTGGTAGGAAGGCAATCACAGCTTGCTATCAACCTTCAGTGAGTGCGAAGACAACAACAAAAAAGCAGACAATTTTCCCACATGATGTACTTGCTGTGCTTTCACAGCAGAGCTTTAACAGAGAATGCCCAGGGCCTTCTGCAATACAGACCTTCAGAAGGTGGTGTCAGAGTATCTTTTAGAGTCTTATTATGTTGTGTCTACAATGGACTGAAGATAAAACTGCTCTGATTTTTGTATTCCTGGGTAAATGTCAGTTACTGAAGTGCAGGAGCACCAATTGATCACCTTTTTGCTAGAAAAAGGTGGCTTGGCAGAGTTTGGAGGCTTTTTGTGTGTGTGTGTCAAGAGCAACCTGAGAAACTGCTCCCAGTGTGAGAAAATTGGTTGTCTGCAAGGACGTTGCCCAGGGGACGTCCGGATGTTTTACCATCCTTGTGTGAGGCTTCTCTCATGTCCCCACATGGGGAGTGGACACTGACAGAGGAAGTATGGAGGCTGCAAACAGGCTTCTTGGAGCTATGGGCTCATCTACACTGTTGAATTAATGAAGTTTGACCCCATTTTAACTGCCATGGAATCCAGAGAGGCATCTCTTCTGCAAAAAATAATTGTACCATGTGTGTTTGTGAATGTATTTTGTATCAGTGTTTTGATATGCATATTTTGTTGTATTTTATGATGAAGTGTTTTGACTGTGTTGTATCAAGCCATGATGAAAGGCAGATAGAAAATAAAATGTGTAGTTCTCATTGGTATTATTATTATAGACCTTGTAAACCAACAACTCCCAGAATTTCATAGCACTGAGTCATGGCAGTTAAAGTGGCACCAAACTGCATTAATCAGATGAACCCTTTTATAACCTCAAGGACACTCACTGACAGAAAAGGCTACAGGACCTTGTAAATACATGAGAGTGAAAGTGGTGTCACACAGTGTAACAGGCATGGGCAAACTCCAGGTGGGAGTTGAAGTCCAAAACATCAGGAGGGCTGAAGTTTGCCCACGCCTGGTGTAGTACATGAACCTTAGAGGTGCTTCAGATTATTCAGATGCTTTTAGTTTATAGAGTTCTCGTTGGCATAATTTATTATCGTTCATGCATTTGATTAGTAGCAGAGTCATTCTTGGTTGTGTATTTTAATGCTTGTATTATATTCTATCCGTCAGTTTTAACCATGTGTTGTACCCTGCCTCGAGCTATGAGAAGAGGCTAGAAAATAATAATCATAGAATCATAGAGTTGGAAGGGACCTCATGGGCCATCCAGTCCAACCCCCTGTCAAGAAGCAGGAAAATCAAATTCAAAGCACAGACAGATGGCCACCCAGCCTCTGTTTAAAAGCCTCCAAAGAAGGAGCCTCCACCACACTCTGGGGCAGAGAGTTCCACTGCTGAACAGCTTTCACAGTCAGGAAGTTCTTCCTGATGTTCAGATGGAATCTCCTTTCTTGTCGTTTGAAGCCATTGTTCCGCATCCTAGTCTCCAAGGAAGCAGAAAACAAGCTTGCTCCCTCCTCCCTATGACTTTCGCTTACATGTTTATACATGGCTATCATGTCTCCTCTCAGTCTTCTCTTCTGCAGGCTAAACATGCAGAGCTCTTTAAGCCGCTCCTCATAGGGCTTGTTCTCCAGACCCTTGATAATTTTAGTCGCCCTCCTCTGGGCACATCCCAGCTTGTCAATATCTCTCTTCAATTGTATGTATATGCTGCTTTTCCACTAACAGCGCCCAAGCGAACAAGCTTCTTCCCTCAGCCCGCGGGAGGCGAAGAGGAGATACAAACCCAGGCGCGGCTGCTCTGTTCCTTCTAACCGGCCTTCAAACAGGATACAAACAGAAGTCTATCCACTGCCCTTCTGTCGATGTGAAGTCCCCCGGCTGTCCTTCCCCGCTCGCCCTCAGCCCTATAAAGCAGAGAAGCCCGGCCACTCACCCTTCCGGAGCCCCCGGGACGAGACCCTGGCCCAGCCGCCCCATAGAAACCCGGAGACCAGGCCTCGCCAGCCGGAGAGCAGCGCCCTGGAAGCCGCCATCTTGGCCTTGCTCCGTCGGTGCCGCTCTCAACGCCTATTGGTTGGCGCTGAACTCCAGCTTGCTTCTCATTGGCGGAAGGGCGCGGAAGGCGTTTCTTGCTATTTTGCCCTTCAGGGGTGAGTTGGTGCATGAAAACAAGGGTTTGAACCTGAGGGAGCAGCTACACCAGGCATGGGCAAACTTGGGCCCTCCAGATGTTCTGGACTTCAACTCCCACCATTCCTAACAGCCTCAGGACCCTTCCTTTTCCCCCTCAGCCGCTTAAGCGGCTGAGGGGGAAAAGGAAAGGGCCTGAGGCTGTTAGGAATGGTGGGAGTTGAAGTCCAAAACACCCAGAGGGCCCAGATTTGCCCATGCCTGAGCTAATTAATTCAGTTTGACCCCACTTTGACTTTAACATGGCTCAATGATATGGAATCCCGGGAGTTGAGGTTTTTATTTATTTGTTTACTATACTTGTATACTGCCTTTTTCAGCCTATCGGCGACTCAAGGCAGTTTACAAGTCAGTACACATAATATCAAAATACAAATTAAACATTAAAAACAATATAAAACCACAACAGAAACAACAAAACCAAAATCATTCATGTCTCCTAGTTAAGAACATTGTCCAATTCCATTGTCAAGTGATTCCAATTCCTATGTCAGTTACTCTGCATTTGCAAACACTTGCTCAAACAACTTGTCTTAACTTGTATCCGAAACGTTAAGAGTTAGGGAGCCAATCTCATCTCTTTAGGGAGAGTGTTCCATAGCCGAGGGGCCACCACTGAGAAGGCCTGGTCTCTCATCCCCGTCAACCGTATTTGTGATGAAGGTGGGATCGAGAGCAGGGCCTCCCCAGATGATCTTAAAGTCCTAGATGGTTCATAAGGGGAGATGCGTTCAAACAGGTTTTACAAGGTGTTTTAGCCCATTTTATGCCAAAGAGAGCAGGTGCCTCGCCAATCTACCAATTCCAGGATTTCATACATTGAGCCATGGCTGTTGAAGTGCTGTCAAGCTGTGTCAATTCTGCCACATAGATGCAACCTGAGATACAGAGTTTTTAATTTTTAGCACACTAGTTAGTACTGACTGAAAGCTCAGCGGTTTGAATCCAGGGAGCAGAGTGAGCTGCCACTGTTAGCCCCAGCTTCTGCCATCCCAGCAGTTCAAAAACATGCAAATGTCAGTAGATCAATAGCAGCCCTGCCAGGCGCATGACCTTGGAGGTGTCTGCGGACAATACCAGCTCTTCAGCTTAGAAATGGAGATGAACACCACCACACAATTGGACATAAATAGACTTAAAGTCAAGGGGAAACTCATACCTTTAATAGTCAGTTATACTACAACATCAGGAAAAAATGCTATTATTACTTACTTAGGTGATCCCTCGTAGCCTGAGGATGATGGTCCTCCAGGTCTGGGCCTCCATGCCATTATATAACAAGTGGAATCACACATATGCCTTGTGTTTTAAAAACCTTTTTATTTATTTCATTCTTTTATTGGCTGGATGGCCCTTGGAACCCTTTCCATTTGTATGGGTGCATCTACACTAGAAGTAATGTTAGTTATTATTATTATTATAACTTTATTTGTACCCCGCTAGCATCTCCCAAGGGATTCGATTGATGCTTCTTTAACTGCCATAGGTCAATGCTAATGGAATTTGTAATTTGGTGAGGCTCCAGCTCACTTTGGAAGAGAAGACTAAAGGCATTGTAAAACCTACTACTACTACTACTAATATCTGTCAGGTGCAAAAGGCCGCAGACCATATTTAAGTTCTTGTGGACCACTGATGGTCCACGGATCACAGGTTGGGAACCACTGTATTTTATGATTTTTGTGTGTGTATATATATGTGTATATGTGTGTGTATGTGTGTAAATTGCTTCAGAAATCTTGTATGCTATCTGTGAAATATACTGTGCCAGTTACTTTGAAGTAGGTAACCTTGATTTGATCCAGTATATAGTCCTCACTGGTGCGATTTCATGGTATCTTGTGGCAATCATACAGAAGTGGCTACTTCTTAATCTAGTTTATGCAGCATATCTTCTTTGGGTTTTTGTCACATTTTACTCCTAAATATGGATTATTGCACCTAATTTAATGCACATTTACTGTTCTCATAGGAAATTAGAACCAGAGGATGGCATGAACATTTATTTCTCATTTTTTACTTTTGTTATCTGATCAGGGAACATTTTCTGCCATGGCTATCAAGTGTAAATAATTCAGGCTTAAGGCTACAAACTAAATGTCAACTTGGGCAGAAGGCCTTTACATGTTTTGTGAGCTTATTATAGTTTCTATTTCTTTTTGAATAGTTCTGAATTTGGAAATAAACTTTAAAAAAGAGTTTCTCAAGCATTTTTATTCCAAATGAAAGGGACTGGAGTTTATTTTGAATAAGACTTGTGTGTTGCAAGAAATAAAAATGATGTATTTATGCATCACTAACAGCAATTGCTGCAATTACTAACCTTATAATTTCAGAGTATTTGTGATCAAGGTGCTACCATGATCATGTTTGTTTATGTAAAACCTCAAGAAAAAAAATCCAGTCAATAACAAAGCCAAACCATAACTTGGATATTTGTTTTAAAGGAAATTCAACACATCTAGAAGAAGAAAAAAGTATTTACTTCTTTAATATTGGAATTTTGGAAGACATTACTGAAGAAACTTCTTTGTTGCCATAATTCTGGAGAAAGTATATATAAAGTTTGGTCTCCAATTCAACATGCGAAAAGTGTCTTTACTTTTGAAGTGCTACAACAACAATAACAACAACAACAACAACTTTATTCTTGTATCCCACCATCATCTCCCCGAAGGGACTCGGGGTGGCTTACACATGGCACAAGGTGCCTAAAAACAACATACAATTAGACACAATGTAAAATACAATAGGATAAAACATATAGGTATATAAAACAACAACTAAGACTCAATAAAACAGCACTCAATAACCAACCTGGATAAGCTACTGTAAACATGGTCAGGCTGTAAATAATAGGACAAAGGAATGGGTTAAGTGCAAAGTTGTAATCATGGAACGACCGCATGGGTTGAAATGCAGTGATTCGTAACTATTGTGTAGAACAACTAGGGACTAGCCGTTCTCAAAAGCTTGCTTGAACAGCCAGATCTTCAGGTCCCTATGGAAGGAGGACAGTGTGGGAGCCTGCCTAATCTTGCCTGCCTAATTTGCCCCACTTTGTTGGTGGAAAGTACAATGAAATGAGTGTAAAAGCTTAAAGAGAAAGAGGTGAAACAACTGTATTCCAGAATATGAGGGTTTGAAAGGTTACTTTTCAAAAATAATTTGCTGTGTTACTGTGTTTAAAAGGTAACCTCTTGCTGCTATTCATTATGATGATGGGAAAAGATAACTTGTTACGTTACTTGTTGCTCTGTTTGTTACTTTCCCATTACTTACTGTTACCTTTCTCAGGAAAAAAAAACATTGTGAGGAGAATGGCATAAATATTGAAAACATCCAAGCAAAATGCTTCTTATTCTGTTAGTCAGTCTGTCAGATATATAGTCCCACATTTCCTCTGAGATGGGATCCAAGGTGGCTTACAATAATTTAAAAAAATATTAAATTGAGATATTGTTTTACAAAAGTTAGAAATAATGAAATAACAGTGATTAAAAGCATAATTAAAACAGTAACTCATTTAAAATACAGTAACTTTAAAAATAACTAGAAATTGCCACTTATTGTACTAGTAAAACAACTTTGCACTCATTTGTTATATTGTTCCAAAAACTAAGTACTTAGAATAACTTGTTACGTCCAAGTCTAGGAGAAAAGATAATGCAACAACTATTAGGCCAATGCAACGTTGATTAAGCAAGAGAAATAATAACCAAACCAATTGCACCATTTAAATTTACTTTTTGTGACCTTTGCATTTTGATTGTTCCTTAGGCAATAGTTCCAGGCAAACTGTTCAGAGATGAGGAAATATCTGCTTTGTGTTATTAACATGAAAACAATTATGTTGTTCCAATTATTCCACAATTATACCTTTTAAAAGCATTATTTACATGTGTTTGTGTAATTGTGGATTTGAGAATCCCAAAACGGTCAACAAAAATAATATAAGAAACATGGTCCCATAAATTCTGGCACAGTGAATTACAAACGGAAAAGACAAGTTGTGCTATGATCATTTTGGACATTTAAACTGATTTGTCTTGTGTTTCATATTATGGTTGTTTACTTCCAATTACAGAGCTTTTCATAAGCACACTTTCTCATGGTTTTCCAGTGAAAATGAATGGCATCTCTTCAGCAGACTGAAGATTGGCAAACTAGTAACATTTCAAATAGTTCCTAGTTAAAGAAGAGAGCTGGAAAAAAACTATTAGGTCATCCAGTGTATGCATATAGTAATGCCTATGTCAGGTCAGCAAACACTATTGGACATTTTTACTTCTTCCCAGAACACTACTCTCTGCTAATATTATTGAGCAATTCTTCTAGAATTCAAAAAACTTTGGAAATCAGTAGTACATTTGCTGCCAACATACTGTATTATAAAATTTTGACATCATAGCTATGAATTTATTATGGGACTGTTGGATGCCTTCAGGGGAAAACATTATAATTTTATCCATACATTTTCCAGTTATAAAACTGGTAAGTCAGCTTCCCAACTTGGTGCCCTTCCATCACATCCCAGCAGCAGGCCACTGGAACCACTGGCTGGGATGAACAGTTCAACACATCTGAAAATGGCTGGGGTACTCTATGAATGTACAGTGAGGTGGGCAATTTCAGTGGATTCCGTGTTCAGTTTTCTGCCTTGGAAGCCTCTGGAGGCTTTATACAATGCCAATGATGTGATAAAAATTGAAAAATCAATTAAACCAAAGGAGAAATGGCTGATAGTCCTAGTTTTTAAAAGTGGTTAAATTGCTGGGATATTGTGTGTTGCAACCTATTTGAATGGTGGGATTTCTAAAGCAAACAATTCACCCCCCTTTTAGAGAAGATGTCTGGAAAGACTTAGAGATGGGGAAC